CTAGTTGGGGTACAGGTATGGCAGATAGTGTAGAACCTTCGGGCGGACTACTTAAATTAGGCACTCAAAAGGTGCACATGTGGCTATATGTACCTTTACTGTAATTGAAAAACATAACTATCTAATAAAACGTTCTCCGGCCAAAGAGATCACCTTAATACTGAAAAAAAATAAAAATAAAAATAAAATTATTACTTTTTGTAAAAAAGAAAAATTAAAAAAATTAGCTTTCAATAGGCTGACAAAGTTTATCTTAGTGATTGAACCTGCTTAACTTGAGTAACTTATTAGGCTAATCCAAGTAGACTGATAGATACAGTATTTCTAGTCAATTGCTAATGTTTTTTTATATCAGGTAAAATAAGATGTGTTAAACTTTAATATATTCAATTTTACCTAATATAAACAAATATTGGTGATTAGCTGAAAACACCTATTAGTTTACCTGAATTAGCTCAACAAGTCACCTGAGTTGAACAGGTCCAATTACTAGTTTATTCAACTTGTATACAAGTCAGTACAATAGTTTACTAATAGATACATACTATCATAGCTATAAAATGCTAGGTTTGCAATTTTAGAAAAACTTGTTTAGTTTAAGAAAGAGCATTTTTATGTTTAAGATAGTTCACTATTACTAATTAAATAAAGTTTTTATTATTTGAGTTTCGGCAAGACTGTCAAAGAGCTAAAAAAAAAAACATACAGTATATACAGTATATAGTTAACTCTTTAAAATCTAAACCTTTAAAATTTGAACTTTATTAAATTCTCTATAGTAAAAATCAAACAAAAAATTTTAAAATATTTATAAATTTATTATAAAGTTTGGAGTAAAATTTATTTATAACTTTTTATTTAATAACCCAATTTTAATGGACTTTTTACAAGAATTACAGGTTTTTCTTGTGACGTTAATATAATTAAAAAAAAATTTTAATTAGCTTTTATTATATCACATCACTGTAACGATTACACTGCTATGATCTCATGCATGTAAATTCATAAGAAAATCGGGAAAATCGTGATCTGCGTGACAAATCGTGTGATTGATAATGATAAGAGCGTTACTACCATCTGTTCGTGATGTTTATTACTTTATTATATACCAGATACATACGCACGCACGCACGCTACTGCTCAGATTTTTAAGAGGCTGAGTCCGGTAAGTTGTAATTCAAAAGCCCGATGCTAGTTTTTTTAGCAGTAGTGGTATATTTCCCCAATATAAGCTCTATCTTTTTTTTTATTAGAGCTTCGAGATGTCTCTTTCCATAGGCTTCGCCTTTCGCCAGGGGTTTCACCTTTCACCGGGGGTTTCGCCTTTCTTCAGGGGGTTTTCCGTTCGCCGGGAGCTTTGCATTTCGCAGGAGTTTCCGCATTTCGCCAGGGGGCTTCGTCTTTCGCCATTTACGAAAATGGTTTCGTCTGACAACTATGGTGCCGACGAATATACTTTAAACGTTGGCAAAGGTATGCTTCGTCTTATCACTGTCAACTTCATATGAGAATAAAATTTTAATTATATTATATTTGCAGCAATACGTACGATACGATCTGATCTTTCCACGTTTTTTGAGCGTGGTCTTACTGATATGTCAATATATTCTCAAGATGTTCTTCTATCGGATCCATGTCATACGGGTCTTTATGTGCGTGGAAAGCACGTGTATTTGGGAATTGCTAACTTGTTAAGATGGAGTTTAATTTGGTATTTCGACGATTTGACGCTAGAAATAGTAAAGATTCATGTAGCAGATAATAGTATGGAGGATAAAAATGATACCGGGAGTGATATTTTATTTAAAGACATTTCTAATGACACTCACTTTAAAGAGTCAAGCTATAAATTACAACATAAAGATCGGGATAAAAATCTCAACAGCATCCATACAATACCATTATTATCCTTTTCCACCTCTACTATACAATCTTATGATAGAAATATTCGACTTTACGTTCGTTGGGAACTCGAAGGAACTCCCCGATCTTCTTATATTGCTTCAATGTTATCTTCGCGTAGTACGCGAATTCCACGCTCATCTTTCTCTGGTATTTTTGTTTATAAATTCTGTTCTAAAAACGGACTAGTGGCAGAACATCATGTAAAACATATAGTGCCTGCGCCAAGTCGTAGAGCAGTACTATATCAAGGGTTTGGTGGGCTTGGGGGATTAATGTGGCGACTTCGCAGCGGATTAAGGCAGAAAAACGAGTGGGGAGTAGGTTTGGGAATAGTTGATGTTAAAATTCCGATAAATGTAAAGTCTTCCAAAGATAAAAATGAAAATCATAGTATCAATAACATATAATCGTGTTTGTTCATTTAATTGTCCACTTTGTTGCTGGACAACAATGCATCTTTCATTGTCGTATAATATTATTTGAGGGCATCCTTAAACTATACAATTAATTTTTACGCAACGATCAATAAAAATTCCTGTTATTAAACATTGCGAATTAGTAGCGTGACGACGTGACGAATGTGCGACAGTTGACGTTGAATTTAATCTACTTTGAGACTACTTTGGAATCAAATGTCACACTTTTTCCAAAATTGTTAAATCACTAGACATTCACTGTTCTTCTGAACTTTTTAAGAATTTAAAACTCGTATTTTTCGAGAACGGGCCAACGATTTCTATCCAAACGCTTATTTCGTGTCATGTCGGGTGAGAAATCTAAATCTATTTTATACTATTTTTTGCTTACCCTTCAAAATAACGTCAAAGTGTATTGTGCTCGCTTTAGACCTTGGCTTAGAAAATTCAGACCAGACCCTTCAGGAAAGGGAGGAAGATCTCGAGGATGGCGGTGACTTAGACACCGAGGAGCTACTGGCTGCGATGGCTGAGAATTCCTCTGGTATGTACACGCAACTCATTTCTTCCACGTTTGTTAAATAGTTTGTCCCGCTGCTTGAAAATTGAGTACTAGGAAACCTACAAATTATTGTCATCGGCTTAATTAGACGATTTGACATTTCAATTGGCGATAACTTCTCGGGCGATCCTTCGCAATCCATAACAAAAAGCTGTGACATAAGTATCAATCATAGTTTAATTTTTTTTATTAGATCAATTTTCAGAAGTTCCTCCTGAGGAGATAGAGGATGAAGAACTTTTGTTAGATGATACATTATCACCGCTCGAGAAGATATTTCTATATGTGAAGAGCGATTTGGTATTCCATAGGTAGATATTACTGAGTCATTAAGTAGTAATATAATTTATTAAAATTCATACTAACATATCAATATTCTGGTATATAATTAATTGTATATTTTTTCTTAATGAGAGTGTTCATCGCAAAGGAACTGCCGTCTCTGATAAAAGATGTGGAAATCAGCGAGGCTGTCGAATATGTATTGCCTTTAATGAATTCATTAGGAACAGATCCTGGTCGGTTTTTTTTTTTTTTAATATTTTATTTATCATTTTAATCTAATTATATCAATTGATCAATTGATAATTCTGTTAATACGTTCAGAGGATCATGTGCGCGAAGCATTTGCTCCTGAGTTAGATAAAATTATATGGTTTTATTATTCAGTAAGTTAATATAAAAATTTTAAAGTTTTCATGTTCAAATGAAGTTTTTTACTATTGCTTAACATTCTGGAAAATTTATACCATTTGACTCAGCATTGCCCACTAAGAGAGATTACAACAGAAATTACGGCAGATAATATCCAGAACGATAATACTTCAACGTCAAGGCCCTTGACTCCACAAAGACCACAAACACCTCAAAGTCCT